AAAAAATATAAAACTATGAGTTAATTATTATCAAACCACATTTGAATAAAATGTAGTCTAAAAATGTGGGAGAACGTATTCTACACATTGCAGAATTTCACCTTTTAAAGCTTAAATTTCAGTCAAGAGTTGGGTAAAATGTGAACTTTAAATGTGAATGAGTCAGGTAAAATATTATTCGTGGGGGGATACGGGCAAAAAATCATTCTTACTTATCGACAGTTGATTCTAGCATTGATTCCTGTATTATCTACACTATGAAAATTGTCAAAAAAAATTATTTTTAATTGTCGATGGTTGATTTTCATACTTAGCACGAATTTCTGCAGTACATACACATTTTTACATACACATTACCGCTTTTACACTCACACACCTTATAATACGCACAGTACATATAATACGCTTACATATAACCTAACCTAACCTAACACACATACAACGCAATACTAATTTCGCTCGCAGTTACATTGAACGGAATGATTTGAACTGTTCTTATATTTCAAGTGGCAGAAAAATTCACAACTTGTGAGAAACGCTTGCAAAGTGAATAAATGATTTATTTTACTTTTATAATTATATTATTCACTCTTAATAGAATAAAATATATTGCGGTCAATTAATTATGGTTTAGAAATTAAAAATTTCATTCAAGTTTTTAATTTAAAATAAAAAAAAATATGAAAAAAATATTAATCTATTTAAAAAAACAGAATAAAAATAAAGTTCAGGTGCGTAATAAGAAAACTTGGCGCCCTGTTAAAATATATATGGTTTTATAATCTATAATTGTTGATAATTATTAACTTTTATCTTTTTCAACTGCTTTATTAAAAGTAAATGCTACTAGTAAACTTATTTACAAATTTTAAAAAAGTTTTATAAATAATGTTTAAGTAAAAAATGTTTACGGGTGCCTAGAGTTTCACATTCAGTCCTGGCAGAAGTTGTGTGGTGGGGTCATACGTTTTACTCAACTTTTGAACGAACTGTGACACACGCAGATGAATAAGTACCCAAGTAAAGCATAAAGTACTACCAAAAGTAAATCAGTTTATGATCAAATGCACTCTATAGTTTAGTCTAACATTTGTTTTAATCTTTACACTACTGTTTGAACACACTTTAAGAAATATATTTTAATAAACATACAAGAGAATTTTAAATATTAGAAAAATGCCCATGTGTAGCCATTTTTCACAACTTTTGACTATACTTTAAACATATCGTTTTCTCAGTGTATATGTACGTATTTTCACGAGTAGATTAAAAAAAAATTAGAGCGAACCCGATTAGAATTGAATTGAATGAAGTTATTTTCCAAAAACTCCAAATTTCGGAAAAAAGCTTGTCCGCCCCCCCGTCCTAACTTTTACAATTTTGGAGCTAAGAAACTGAAACTTGGTACACATATTTAATTTCACGTGTAGATTTCACCAAAAATATAGCTAACCCTTTGAAATTGACTTAAATGTGACGCGATCTGAAGAAAAGGACCTTAGAAGCAAAAAATTATAGGTTACGTTTAGAAATTTTAAAGTGAAAATACACAAAGACGTTCAACTCGTAATGCAAACTAATGATATTTAGGTCTTCATTGCATCTAAAATATTCAATAAAAACTGATTTCAGTTTTACAAAAACAAAAGTAAACTTTTAGTTCAAGTAAAACTATTGTAAACATAGCCAATAATTCATTTGCTTCTAAGGTCCCTTTCTTCAGACCGCGTCACAAATATTGTTTCGATACAAAAACTCAAAATTCCTGAAAAAGCTCAAAGTTCCTTTTTATCTTAACTTTATTAATTTTTTAGCCAACCATCTCAAACTTTGTACATATATATGCATATATTTACAAGCAAATTGAAAAAAAATTATAGGAAAATTATTTTTTATATATATATATAAACATTTAAATAATCGTGAACGGAACCCTAGGTAAGCGAGTGTAGCTCGCACTTGACCGATTTTTTTGTTTAAATCCACATTTTATTTTTAAAAATCATAATTATATGAGCTTTCGCCCGTCAACGTCAGGCCTTATCAGATTTAAATAATGGATTTAAATTTACATTTTTAAAGATTGTTATAAACATAAAAATTTAATTAGATTGACAAACATAACCTGAAACTCACCAATATGGATGGATGGAATATCTTATTTTTCAAAAAGGGAGTGTTTCCGTGAAACTAAACATAATTTAAATTATGTGGTATGATGTTTAGTGTCGATATGTGTTTTACAAAACACGTCTATTATATTTTTTGTCAAAAGAAATTTTGAAAAAAGAATAAAATTATTTTTTGGGAAATTTGTCCTAAACATTTAAACAGTTATATTATATATTTTTATTACATAAAATTTTTGTACACAAAAAATAACATATGGAGAAGAAAATTAAATAGTATATTATGTGGCAAGCACGTAAAGTAGAAATTTTTAGGTGAGGATGTAATTTTCAGTACGAGCTGTCGTTAGTGCGACGTAGGTGAGACGGAAGCGAGCCAAGTCGAACCAAAGTCGCACAGACAGCGAGTATTGAAATCATCCGAACCTAAAAATTGCTACGTGCGAGCCACATACGCTATTTTTTTCGCCATTGTTATGAAAAAGTGATATATAATATATAATATATGTTATATAATATATAATACATAATACATAATATATAATATATAATATAATATATATGAAATAGTATATAAAATAATATAATAAAAATTGATAAATAAAAGCAAAACAAAAATTATGCAAAAATTAACAACTGCCTAAAAAAGTTTTTTTAGGCAGTTGGCCCAAACTGCCTTAAAAAGTGCTACTTTATCTGCCCAAAACAGGCAAAAAAAGACACTTTTTCATGTCAATGGCGAAAAAAAAATTATTTTTTTATAAATATATATGTGGATATGAGAGATTCTTTTTCAATCGCCCCAGCCCAAAAAGTCAATGTTCTGGGATTGGCTTCATACTTTGGTAAATTATTCTCCTATATGATAGTAATAAATCCCTAAAATATAAACTCATTAAAAAAATATTTGTAGAAAGTAGAGGGGGTTGAAGTTTTGACGTTAAGGGTAACATTGTCATTTTCAAATGCGTATAACTATGAAAAAAGTTAATGGATTTTAATTTATCTATAATGAATTTTAATGCATTTTTCACGTACTTTTCAAAAATGTATACAAAATTTAAAAAAAAAATTTTTGACCCCTTTTTTTCAAAATCAACCCTTATTTTTCGATTTTCACCCCTTCGGGTATTTTTTTTTTTTATTTTCATTGGAAAGCTGAGGTTTTTTCCCATGAGCTATGTAAATATGAAAATGAGACAACAATAATTTTGTGAGAAACGGAATATTAATGTAGGCGGTGCCGATAAGGGTGCAGTTAAGGGTAACATTGTCATTTTCAAATCCGTATAACTATGACAAAAGTTAATGGATTTTAATTTATCTATAATGAATTTTAATGCATTTTTCACGTACTTTTCAAAAATGAATACAAAATTTAAAAAAAAAATTTTTTCACCCCTTTTTTTCAAAATCAACCCTTATTTTTCGATTTTCACCCCTTCGGGAATTTTTTTTTTATTTTTTTTATTTTCATTGGAAAGCTGAGGTTTTTTCCCATGAGCTATGTAAATATGAAAATGGGACAACAATAATTTTGTGAGAAACAGAATATTAATGTAGGCGGTGCCGATAACTGGTATACCTAAAGATCATCTTCGAGGATTTAGGTAGGCACCGCCTACTTTAATATTCTGTTTCTCACAAAATTATTGTTGTCCCATTTTCATATTTACATAACTCATGGGAAAAAACCTCAGCTTTCCAATGAAAATAAAAATAATAAAAAAAAAAATTCCCGAAGGGGTGAAAATCGAAAAATAAGGGTTGATTTTGAAAAAAAGGGGTGAAAAAATTTTTTTTTTAAATTTTGTATTCATTTTTGAAAAGTACGTGAAAAATGCATTAAAATTCATTATAGATAAATTAAAATCCATTAACTTTTGTCATAGTTATACGGATTTGAAAATGACAATGTTACCCTTAACTGCACCCTTATCGGCACCGCCTACATTAATATTCCGTTTCTCACAAAATTATTGTTGTCTCATTTTCATATTTACATAGCTCATGGGAAAAAACCTCAGCTTTCCAATGAAAATAAAAAAAAAATACCCGAAGGGGTGAAAATCGAAAAATAAGGGTTGATTTTGAAAAAAAGGGGTCAAAAAATTTTTTTTTTAAATTTTGTATACATTTTTGAAAAGTACGTGAAAAATGCATTAAAATTCATTATAGATAAATTAAAATCCATTAACTTTTGTCATAGTTATACGCATTTGAAAATGACAATGTTACCCTTAACGTCAAAACTTCAACCCCCTCTACTTTCTACAAATATTTTTTTAATGAGTTTATATTTTAGGGATTTATTACTATCATATAGGAGAACAATTTACCAAAGTATGAAGCCAATCCCAGAACATTGACTTTTTGGGCTGGGGCGATTGAAAAAGAATCTCTCATATACCAGTGTCAAGCCTAGGGGTCGTTAAAATCGGCGGGAGCTCTGGAGTCCATAAAAATCATCTAAAACGTAAATCCCAAGAATTTTTGGTTAAAATAAGATCGAACTTTCTCATTTTTACACTAAAATTATTTTTTTAAATGTTTTATCTCGTATTCACTTTTATAAAAGTGACCGCTCCTGAAAAAATAAACTGTCCGTCAATAGTGCAGCACTTTCGCGTTAATATGACTTAAATTTCGTTACTCCTATGTTTTCGGGGTCTCTGATTATGAATCCGATGTCAGTTTTTCAAAATTCAAAATGTCAGACTTTTTTTAGCTCATCGAATACACTCTTAATTTTTGTATTGTTTTATCTTTAAAAAAACATGTTATTTTGGTATTTAATTATATATTTTTGATGTATTAACTAGCAATCGAATCTTTAGAACCTATTTTAGTTGTATCATGTTTTATTTTCAGTGTGTACAAATTGTTGAAAGAATTCAAAGATTGGGCTTAACACGTGAAGAATATTACATACTAAAAGCTTTAATACTAGCAAATAGTGATGTAAGATTGGATGAACCTCAAGCTCTTTATCGTTTTCGAGACAGTATCTTATATTCCTTGTCGGATTGTGTAGCCGCTGTGCGACCTGGTCAAGCTCTACGAGCTATACAAAATATGTTCCTAATTATGCCTGGTCTTAGACAAGCTGATGGTATAGTGAGAAGATTTTGGTCTAATGTTTATCGAACTGGCAAAGTACCGATGAATAAGCTATTTGTGGAAATGCTTGAAGCTGCGGGATATCGATGAGTGAAAATTTACAGTAAGAAACGTTAAATTTACTAAAATGCACGATTCAATGATAAAAAAATTCTCTTAACATAAGAAAAATACAGAAATACAGCAAAATAAAAACATCAAAGTTTCTGTTTTTCTCAGTGAATAAAACAATTCGATTGTTTTTTATTAAGTGTTATTTTTACTTTTTCGAAAGTATCGAGAACATACACAACGCCAAAGAGTAAATATGATTTTTAGTTTATACAATTTCTATAAAAATAGCAGTTATACTCAGATTATGTTAATTTTTTATACTGTATATATATATATATATATATATATATCATTGAATCGTGCCTTTTTTAATTGATATGGAAGTGAAAAAACATTGTGAGAATAGAGAAAGAAAGTATTAGAAAAATTATATATATTATTATAAGATCCACACTTGAAAAATTTTAATAGAACCATAGAATTTGCTGTGTAGATAAGAGAAAAAGTAAAGTTGTTCACATGTGCCGCAAGCAATAAAACTGTATGAAGGAAATATATTCAGGGATATTTTGTATATAATTACTGTTGCTGTTATAAAAACCGCTTTAAATCCAATAGTTATTAAAACTTTTGATTTTTACAAATTAATAGAAGAAAATTTATTTTTAATAGACATGATTTCTATTAATTTAAACAAAGGAGAAGCCTTGTGAATAATATAAAAATTATTCTTCAAACAAAGTTTATGAAAATTAAATGAATTATCAAGTTTTCTGCTCTTGGTGACTTTATTTCAAGTTAATAATTAATCAATTAATTTCAAGTTAATCAATTAATGTATAAAATTATCAAAATTTTTGTATATTGTAATAAATCGACAATTTATTTAATTAGTTGAAATTTATTTTTATTTATTAACCTCAACTATTAAGAAGGAAGAAAAAATTTACATTTATTTATATTTTAGAATGTTTTATTTTTCGCAAATTGAAAACTGAGATTAATTACAATAATTTGAAGAAACAGTTAATTTGTGCATGTACAATAATCTTATATGGATGTAAAAAATTTCGCTTTTTTTAAAAACTAGTCTAATAAGTTATTACATGGAATTGGTGTATTGAAATATCATATTCACTTGAGCTGCCGGATCAAAGAAGGGCACATAACCCATTTGAGTTACATTAGTTATGTGCCCTTCTTTGATCCGGCAGCTCAATTATAAGTATTATGATTATGGCCTTTCACATTTTATCCCTTATTTATCTATTGACATGGAAAATGTTTTAACATATTCTGGTAGTTTAGAGGGATATGAATGGAAACATTCGATAATTTTGTGTTAAATTTTTGTGTCAGTAAAAATTGTATTTTTTAATTGATCGTTTTACCAAATAAAAAGATTTCTGTGAAATATTTCTCCTAAAAAGTTCTCCTCCTCATATGAGGCATTTTACGAGTAATGTACTAACCAAAAAATTAAATTTCTTGAAATAAAGTGAGAAATTGTTGTATTTTTTGCAGACATAAACGAAGGTATGAAACTTATAAGTTTCACAACTTCGTTTTATGTATGCAAAAAATATATACTCTGTAATATTTAACAATTCTTAATACAATTATTCTGCAGAAATACAATTTGCATTTAACCAAACAAACTGTCAACACATTATTTATTATCAGTGAGATTGACATGGCAACCATCCTAATTACAAAAAAATTTATCCTGTGAGAAGTTCCTACTTTATGAATTGAAACGAATTGAAACGAAAACTGCACTTTCTACAGCTCTGTAGAGCTTCGAAAGTAGCCAATGGCAGACGAGATCTCACTTGTCCACTTTTTACCCGCTACATAATCAATTTTCTTTTCTAGGGAAGAAAGTTGATGACGTAGCGGGAGGAAAGAAAATCTGGACGTTCTGATTGGTTAGTTAGATAGCCATCTATATGCCCTCTGTAGTGGGAAGACGAAACTATCAACTTAACCTCTATTTTTCACCGGCCGACGTTTCTAATGTTTATGTGCTTACATATAACGAACACATTTATCATTTAGCCATTTGTGGATTATTTTAAGTGTTTACTTCTTTTAAATTCAATGTCGCAGTGTACACCGCCAGAATTATCTGAAGCGGCAAAATATGCTGTTTCGCAGTTATTGTCAGAAAAATCTAAAGAGCGGTATATTACATAGTACAAAGCTTTGGACAACTGGAAATTGAAAAATAAAGTACATATAATTTCTGAAAATATATTGCTAGCTTATTTTAACGAATTGGCAATGACATTAAAGCCAAGCACACTATGGAGTCATTAGTCAATGCTTAAAACTACAATATCGACTAACAACAATATTAATATTAATGAGTATTCTAAATTAATTGCTTTTTAAAAACGAAAGTCAAGCGGTTTCAAGAGCAAAAAATCAAAAATTTTAACAGCGGATGAAATTGCAAAAGTCTTAAATGAAGCACCGGATAGTGAATTTCTCTTAACAAAGGTAAGTAAACAAAAATTCATGTGTGACTGTAAACGCAAAAATTAAATTATGAAAACCGAAAAAAAATTTACTTGTATTCTTACAGGTTGTTTTGATTTTTAGTATAGCAGGTGCGTGCAGAGGTGGCGAATTAACCTCTATAAAAGTGAGTTACATTGAAAATAGAGACAATCTACTATTAATCCACATTTCGGATACGAAATCTAAAATTTCTCGATCATATACGATCGATGGTAAATTTGCGGAAATCGTAATGAAATATGCCGTCATACGTCCCAAAAACATAGACAGATCGCTTTTTTTAAATTTTCAAAAAGGCAAATGCACAAGCCAAGTTGTGGGCAAATTATAAATTTGCAAAAATGCCGAAGGAAATTGCCGAATATCTCAATTTACCTGATGCAGATTCATCCACTGGCCACAGTTTCCGTCGGAGTTCAGCAACTCTATTCGCGGATTCAGGTGCTGACATGAATACGATTATGCGCCACGGAGGATGTAAGTCATAGACTGTAGCAGAAGGTTGTAATAAAATTTTTCTATGTGAACAATAATTAACTCGCTTATTTTTAACAGGATTCATTGAAAATTCTGTAATTAATAAGCGGAATATCGGCAATCTTATTACTAATCTAATAAAACTGTCTCCAATGTCAAGTAAACATGGACCTTCTACCTCAAAATCACAAAAAATGAACAATAAAATCGACAAAAATGCTTCGAAATCTTTGGAAAGCAATCAAGAACCTCTCAGAACTGAAATATCACCAGCCATTGAAGCTGATGTACCTTCAAGTCTGATAATTGAGAGTAACTCTCAAAATTTTAAAATAACCGAAAATAAAAGTAATCCTATTTTTCAATTTAATAATTGCAATGTCACTATTCAATATTGCTCTAACAATAATTAACTAAGTTATTGGTATATGCTTGTATAACATATATACATAATTATTAAATAAAATTATTTTTATCAAGAAGTGTTTCTTTGCCGCCCTCGTCGGAAGAAGATGCGTTTCTCCCCTTGGCACGCAATATACTATTATTCTTTATCAAATAAAAACACGTTTTGCATGGATTTCTCCAAGCAGGGAACAGGTAGGACTTTATTTCAAATGGATTTTTAACCTATAAATATGTACAAAACATGCTACACAAACCATTTTTGTCCGCATTTTTGTGAAACCTATCTTCGTTTCTAGAGCACCGTGTCAAAAGAACAATTCTTTAGACCTAAGGTACGACTAATGTAAAAAATGTTTTTCTTAAATTTTAAAATTCTATACTAGAATTGACGAATTTTTTTCAAACACACTTTTTTATAAAGTGGTAATTTTTGTTCATATTGTCATTAATAATTTTTTAAAATTCATTTTCAACAAAACAACATGATTTTTAATTTCTTATGGTTTAAAATACTAATTATAATAAGGTAAGTCCGGGGTACATGGCCATACTCTTTTTAAATGTCCGTAGAAATAAAACGGAAGCAGTTTATTTATTAATTTTGATTACTAATTAAACAGTAAACATTATACTTTGAAAAAATGAAAAATTATTTAAGGGGGAATAGAATAGAAATTATATCATGAGAAGTGATTTCGAAGTTATTTTATGTGAAAAAAATTGAAATCTGCAGAAGGTATCCAAGAGCGTTTCGAGTGCTTGTCAAAACTTTAAACGCGTTTTTCTCGAAAGACATTTTTCAAAACGGTGGGCAGTCTAGCTCGAACAGTTTTGATCGGATTGACTTTGGCCGAAGTTTTTATTGATCGTCATTTACTAATGTTTTAGAATACGTAGCGGATTTTTTTTGGTTTTTTTTTGGCAATTGAATTTTTGAAAAAATTTCTCCCTAAAAATCGACTTTTTTCTACAAACAGCTGCCAAATCCACAAAAATTAATATTTGTAAAATATCCTACGTACTCTAAAGCTAAATCTATCAAATTCAGAAAAAATTAAAATTTTTGTTTTATATGAAACGATCTAACCGGAATCTTGCCCAATGATTTGCCCTGCACAGAAATTTCAATATTTTTTAAAACCCTTCGTTCAATCACTTGTTAATCTAGAAGAAGTGTGCCAAATTTGAGAAAAATCTGTCCATTAGTTTTTGAGAAATCGTGACCACTGCAAAAATACTTTTTTGGGGGAAGATTTAAAACAACCAGCCCGTGTGGAAATTTATCGTGGAAATGTATTGGAAACTGTACAGTTGAGCTAGATTCAATCGAGCAACTTGAGAGGAAAACTAGATAGAATCAAGTAGAGTATGCGACGCTAGGGATAGCTAGTTTTTTCCAGCCCTGTTGTCTAATCCCTTTCTAGTAAAATAAAAATTTCTAGCCAGTTTCATGATATTAAAATATACAGTTTCTATCTACCGATGGGTCGACCTAACTTCAAATAGGTAGTAACACCTACACAAAAATAATTAAATATTGAATTCATTATACAATTAACACATTATTTATAATTGGAGACCTTATATTTACCCCTACCTATTATTATTTAACGCAATCCCTTACATAAATTCTGGAAAATATTTAACGCTCGCTGGGATCGAACCCCCTAACCTAATGCTCCGCAGGCTAACACGCTAACTATAACGCCACCTTAACATGGGAAAATACATACAAAATTGGTTTGATAAGTTGCGACTGAGGAAAATGATGACTTGAGGAACAGAACAATAAAGAAACAATAATTATTTATAAATTATAATTTATTTTTAACGTTAAATAATTTATTTAACATATATAAGTCAATATTTTAATTTTTTTAATTTTTACCATTTGGTAAAAAAAACTTTTTTTGTTTAAAATAAGATTATTTTTTTCATTTTTAAATTAATTTGTTTAAATTAAAATTGATAATTCTTATTAATTTAATCAATTAAATATAAATTTAAATTATATAACATAAAACTAACAATAATTAAATAAATATATTTTTATTGATTTATTTATTTATTATATTCTATTTTATTATTTTATTTAAGTTATTTTAAAAATTTTTGCAATGAGTGAATTCGTCTGCTAGCTAGTTACTGTAGCGAATTCAGTGACACCTGCTTGACGGACTTATATTAATTTTTCATGATGGTATCCTAGGCCGCATCTTGGTAAATTCTAGACAATAACTAGCTAAATTCTAGAAAGGCTACATATCTAAAGAAACAAAGGGAAAACTGTATAAAAACTGCACATCAACTTTGAGGGGCCATTGCAGTTATTTGAGAATAAATTTCCACGACAAACACTGTCTAGCTATAGGCTAACACTAGGACGGCCACGATAAATTTCTACACGGGTGTGGTAATGGGCTCAATTTTTAATATTTCTTAAAACAAAATTTACAAATTTTTCTTTCGATAGTGTACTTTAAGGTGTTCAAGTAATCGAATAAAATAATCTATTTATTAAATGAAAAAAAAATTATATAAATATATACGATTTTTGTCCTCCTAGACCCATGTAACCCCTTAAGTCAAAGATGACAAATATTAGAGTGAATCCAATTTTCAATAATTGTAATAAAAATTTTGTATTTTGTATTTTGTAATTTGCATGGCCATCAATTCCAAAGTTATGACAGAAGGTCACATATATTATTTAAATAAATAGAAAAAATTAGTTACTAATTTCTAGGTTATTCAAAGCTTAGGTCGTGTACTCAACTACCCAAAATTTCAAGTTCCTATCTAATAATGAACACTCACAATCGTTAATTTCGTGAAAAATGACATTCTTCAAAAAGCAGACTAAAAGATCCATTTTTGATTGAAACAAAGTAAATTTTGGATAAAAAGAAATTTGAAAAGTACTAGTCGAAAGGAAATTTTGCAAATAATTCAATGACGTTGGAATTTTTGGCCTATCTCCAAACGAACTTTTTATCAAAATTCAAAATTAGCAATAAGAAACAATATAAAAATTATTATTTGTAATTTGTAAATAAACAAAATATTTGAATTAATAAACAAAAATCAAATTCATAGAAAACATGGTAAAAAGTTAAGATAATAATAACAACAATTTAGAAAGAAGCCAAAGTCTTTAGTCCTTACAATGAAAAATTCTGAAAATTAAAATTGTTTTTCAATATCAAAAAAAGGATAATCAAAAATTCAGCAAATTGTTGAGCGCCAGTCCTTTCTTCGGACATATAATGAAAATTAGAAAATAGAACTAAATTCCAAAGAGAAGGAGACTAAATCTCAAATAAGATAAAATAATTATAATGACAAAAGATTGATTAAGAAAAATTATTAATCTCAGAATTTACAGTTAATTTCATTTTTTTAAAAAATAATTTGAATTAATTTTCCATACCTAAAGTAGGAAGGTGATAAAGTAACCTAACATTTCTCACCATGATTTAACCCTATTGAAAAATCTCACATGAGATTACATATGTGAAGTCACAAGCGAAGTCACATGGAAACTGAAATGTGAACTCTCATGAGAACTTACACAAGAACTCAAATTGGAACTAACATAGGAACTCACATAGGAACGCACTTAGTGTTTTGACCCCGGTACACATGTAGGTTCCCATGTGAGTTCTCATGTGGGTCCTCATGCAAGTTCTCTTGTAAGTTCACAGTGAGTTTCCATGCTTGACAGTTTTTTAAAATAAAAATAATTTCAAGTTATAATAAATAACATAATTTATTGAAATAAAAATAAGGTCGTAAGTCAAATCATAGTAATAATTATGGCAAAAATAAATATTTTTTTATTAAAATTAAAACTGTTTACATTTTTTTAAAATTTGAGATTCTTTCTGCAATCTCGAATCTTTTGAGATAGAAAATGGCCAATTAGTTTCATTCGAGCTTCTCTGGGAGCACCCGTGCATTTCGATTCTGTGAGTTTTTTGTATAACAAATCTGTAAAAAGAATCAATAGATTAATTAGATAATGATCTCAGTTTATAAGCAAGCTTTCTACAATTAGCAAATTACAAGCTTGCTACTTATAATTAAAATAAAATTTTAAACATAATTTTTTTTTCAATTTCATAACTTTACCTTCTAATAATTTATATTTTTCGGGTGAAAGTTCCTTTCGCTCAGCAGAATCTCTTCCTTCTTTTATTTTTTTTTTATCTAAACACCTTAATTTTAATACTTCAGGACCCCAAAAAATTGAACTCAGATCTTTGATGAATTTGGAGTCTTGCTCTCTTTTTAAACGTTCCCAAATATCACGGTGAACGTAGTATTCTAATCCCAGATGTACCTATAAAATGTTTATAAATAAGAAAAGAACTAAGAAAGAAAGGGAGAAAGTATATTGAAAGAAAAATTTTTGCAACTTTTGTTTCCTTGAAATGAAAACCATATAAAAAGTAGATTAAAATTTAAGTCATATAAGTTATGATGCCAACCATGAAAGGTTGTTATAAGAGTTTTCTCCTTACCTTATCATTTTCTGTTTCTATGAAACGCTTATAACTCTCCATGGCAGTTGTCCTAATATTTTTCCCCCTGTTGTTATTGACCGTTTCTAGAACTTGAAATTAAAATGAAAAGTTGGATGGATTTCAACACACAAAAAGTAGCGTTATTAGAATTAAATTATAAAAAAAAGTATCAAAACAGATTGTATATTCATTAAGGGGTTACACCACACTAAACGTAAATCATTTTTACGGTTTTAAATAAAAATTTTTTTTGATGAAACTATTAAAGATACAATTTCTTGTAATGGGGGGTATGATAGTTCAAAATATATTTTACCGATTGACTCGAAAATTGAAATACAACTTCTATATATATTCTCCAAAGAGTGACGTAGGATTTTAATATTTTTAAAAATTACATTTTTTTATGATTTATCAAATTTTTCATACACTTAGAAAAAAATACTATTGAATTTATAGC